GAACAGGAGGAGGAGGAGGAGGAAGAAAATGAGGAGTAGGGGGGGGAGAAGATGAAGAGGAGGAGGAGGAAGATGAGGAGGAGTAGGGGGGAGAAGATGAAGAGGAGGAGGAGGAGGATGAGGATGAGGAGGGAAAAGATGAAAAGGAGGAGAGAGAGAGAGAGAGAGAGAGGTGGTGGTGCCTACCGCCATCGTCGCCCGGCGCACTATGGTCGCTGCCTCCCGACGCTCCCTCCCGCCGCCGAGTGCTCGCACTGCCGCTGCAGCCCCCTCCTCCCTCCTTCGCCGTCGTCCTCGTCGACAGTCCCCCGTCGTTGTCCTTGTCGGCGACCCTCCTCGTCACCCCTCCTCCCTCCTTCGTCAGCCCTCCTCCCTCCTTCGTCGTCGTCCGTCGTCGTTTCGAAGTCGTCAGTCCCCCGTCCCCCGTCGTCGTCCTCGTAGGCTCCTCCCTCCGTCGTTGTCGTCGGTCGGCCGTCAGGAGCCTGCACACGAATGGGCAGCGGCGACTTCGAAACCGGCCCCACCCGAAGTGTTTGTTTTTGGGGGGGAAGGCCTGCAAAATTTGAATTTGAATTCTGCAGACCTTTCCCCCCAAAAAAAATCTTCACGCCGCGGGCGGGGCCGGTTTCGAAGCCGGCGCGGCCTATTTTTCATTTTTGGGAGGCCGGGGGGGGGGCACCGAGCTAAACCCCCACCCCCCTTTTTTTTTTGTGACCCTATTTAAACGAGTGCGCCGCACCGGGTGCGGTGCGCAGTGCGGTGCGCTGCGTGCGGAATCCGTGCGCTGAGGCGCGCACCGCGGTGCGCCGCAAGTATGATAATGTCGTGTCTCTTAAACCTAGGAGTGGGATGGTCTCAGGGGAGTGAATGCAGCCTAAGAATAGAAACTCTTGAGAGCAGTCACACATGAAGTGGGATAGGGCATCAGTTTTAGAGCGAGGGAGTGGTAGCGAAACAAAACCAATAACCTTGACAGATAGACCTTCAAGGCGGGGTAATGCTCAAGAAAAGGGTCTACTATGTAGGATCGACCATGAAAGGGGAGCTTGGAATAGGGTGGAGATATGCCTAAGAGAGGGTATGCAATGACCGACACTACGGTGATGAAGGTAGTGGATGAGAGAAACATGCACACAACTCATCGGCTAGGGAGGAAGCCAGATCTGGGAGCAGGGAAGCCAAGATAACGTTACGGTCCCAATGCCTATGCAATACCAAGGGAGAGCCAAACTTGGGGAGAACCAAAATAGTGAGAACCATAATGCGACACATAAGGGAATGCACAAGATAGGGTGGAGGTGTGAAGTAGTCATGTCCGAAGTAGTTGAAGCTGAGAAGGTAGCTGAAGTCGTCGAAGTGGTCGATGTCAACGATGAAATAGGAGTCGAGTCGATGTTGAAGCACAGCCGCAAAATGCTGGCATCCGAAAGAAGCTGATGATGGAGTATATGAGGGTGTGAGTCAGTGGGAAGGTAAGTGGTGAGAGTGTCAGTCCTCAAGATGCCGAGAGCGTCAACAAGTGCGCTTTGGACGCGCGGAGGCGGTTGTCTGCTGTTGAAGAACGAGCGGGCTCGTCCTCAACGATCTCCTCAGTCGGAGGAGGAGGAAGAGGGTCATTCGGTTGAGTAGGAGCAGACGCCTCAACATGAAGAGCACGATTATATGCGCGCGCCAATATCTTGGCGTGCTCCAAGTGCTCGAGGGGCTCCCAAGTAGCCTCCTCATCAGGATAGCCCTTCCACCACATAAGATACTCTGCGTGGAGGGGTATTGTTGGAAACTCGGCGTGATACGGTGTCTGAAATGATGAACTGCTCGTGACTGTCCACCATGTTAGGTGGAGGGCGCTCATAAGGACATTCGATGAATTGCTCGGACGGTCTGCTATAGGGACGCGACAAGGAGACGTGGTAAACATTGTGTTGCCTGCGAAGGTAGTTAATCAACTTCACGTAGAAGCTAACCCGACTAGCAACAGTGTTAGAATTGACGACCTGAAGGATGCGGCATGGACCGAAGAAGCAACGCCTGAACTTGCGAAGTGTACACGCTGCGAGCTGCAAGTGGCGTGCGTAGACGAGCACATCATCACCGACTTTGAATGGATGATCCATTCGCAATCGGTTCGCTAGTGTGACCATGCTAGTCTATGAGACGGCTAGACTCTCGTGTGCGCGCCTCATGATCACCGCCATGTGTGCGAGCCAAACGTTGAGCGTAGGACAATGAGTGTCTGGGCACAACCGCAGCAGTTGAAGGAAGTCCGCGGGTACGTGAGGGTGGTAGCCGAGGACGCAATAGAATGGCGACATCGTTGTGGCTGGCGAAACGACGTTGTTGTATGCGATCTCCGTATGGGCTAAGTGTAGGCCCTTGTGCTGGTCATCCCAAATAAACTTTTTGAGGATATTACCTAGAGTTTTGTTGGTAACCTAGGTGTGACCATCGGTTCGACGGTGGTAAGACGACGAGAAGTGGAGTTGGGATCCGTACACCTCGTGTAGGCATCGCCAGAATGTGCTGGTAAAGCGTGGGTCGCGGTCGGAGTTGATGCTCTGAGGTAAGCAGTGATCTTTCACGACTTCGTCGAAGACATTGTCGGCGACCTCACGAGTGCTAATGTGATAGTGGCGCGGGACAAAACATGCACGCTTCCTGAAGCGATCGACGACGACCAAGACAACATCATGACCATGCTCAGTAGGAGGATGGAGGGGACCAACAAAATCCATCGAGATGGACTGCCGACAACCCTCAGGTATGGGTAGAGGCTGAAGTAACCCATACGGAAGGTGGTCTTGAAGTTCCTGGGCGAGCGCCACGCTTTGCCTTACACTCGCATGTGCGAGCGTGTGTGTGTGTGTGTGTGTGTGTGTGTGTGTGTGTGTGTGAAAAAGAGAGAGAGAGAGAGAGAGAGAGAGAGAGAGAGAGAGAGAGAGAGAGAGAGAGAGAGTCGTGGTAGTGCGGGGAAAGACAGAGTGAGAGAGGGGAGAAGGAGTGGCGGTGGGCAATTCACGCGCTGAAATTCATGTGCAAGCGCCACTTGACCTTACACGTGGTTAACGAGGGGTGTTATTTTCGACGAATTTTGCACCGAATTGCACTGAAACTGTCATATTGTGCTGATGTTTTGTTTTTTTTCTTGTTTTTCTTTTTGTGTGATATATATGTGCTTTAATATATGTGCTTTAGGGTACGTCATGTGTGCAGTTTTGACATGTTTGGATCAATAATGAAAAAGTTGGCATTTTGTTGAATTCGTTGGACGCTTCAT